ATCTGATACTTGATTAAACTCTCTGTAATCTAAAATATGAGTATAATTACAAACAATCAAATAGCACTGATGGGAAATTCTGCATAAGCAGACATACTTTTGCTACTCTTAGGACATTTTGCTGGAAAAAAAAACGTATTCAAATATGTTTTCCACGCAGGACTTTTTCTTGTAATTTCGTATTTTTGCACCGTGCGATCGTCGCTTTTGTTCAAACGCAGAATCTGAAGGAATTCTTTCGCTGCTAACAGCAGAGCGTGTCTTAACAGCAAGGTCATTGTTGGCGACGTCTTTAATGCAACAATGCAGACTGACCCAATTAAGTAGCAGGAAAGGACAATCACAAGCGTAGTAGTGGCACTACTGATGAGCCTGTGTTTGTTTGCTGAAGCGGGGAGTGCGTAGGGAGGACGCCAGGCAGGGGTGGGAAGTCCGGTCCCTCTTTCTTTCTTTTCTTTATTTATTTTTTTTGATGGCGGGTGGAGTGGTGGAGCAGAGCGACGGCTCACCCCAGAGACCTCCCTCCCTCCCCGCTTTGAGAAACAAAAGGGGCTTTTTCTCTGAGGAGCACAGTGACGTGGGAGGCGGCTGTGAATGTGGGCCATGTGTCAGGGCTGCTGCTGCTGCTGCTGCTGCTGCTGCTGCTCCGTTTGTCTGCTTCCCCTCCCCAACGCTGGTGCTCTGTGCAAACCTCCACAATTCAGTGCATCTGTAGAAGCCAACCGGACTTCTTTTTGCTTCTTTACTTCTAACTGACTGGTAGAGCTGAGTGTTTTTTGTAGCCGTGACCTCTATGACTAAGCATTCACACTGACAATTTATACTATTGCTAACTTTATGATTCACTGCCCTGCTTCTGCATGTCAGACTCGCAGCGATGCTTGTCATTCTTTGAAAGTGTAAGGTGCCGCCGAGGGAAAGAAAGTCACCTCATTAAAGACCGGCTGAGTAATTTGAAGATTGCTTGACATGCTATACTCGGGGCTCAAATACCACACAAAGCATATCTGTGGGATTAAAGTCGCCTGCGAGGCCAGCGCATACTCTCGTAATGGATTGGACTATTGCGCTGCTGCATGAGAATCTTTATGCTTACCCGGTGAGGTCATATGTACGCTGTCAAGAGCCCGCAAGTCGCTCGCCGGTCCAGACCTTCCCGTGTTAAGAAGGAAGCGGGTAAACACGGGCCTTGTTAAGCGCGCTGTGCGGCAGGCGGACACACCGAGGGCCCCCCGGCCTTTAATCAGCGGAGTGACAGAAGTGAAAGAAGGCTGTGTTCTGGTAGAAGATAGGAACACAACAGGAGGGGCGTGCGTCATGCCAGTGTTCTGCACCGCGCTCGACCCCCACCGGGCGCCGACACAACAGGGTGGTGGTCACTTTTGAACTGTCAGAGGAGGTTAAGCACGGTCTTATCTGCTCTAATGACGATCAACACCGCGATACATACTCCAGCTTTTAGGCAACAGATGTCCCACAGCATTCAGTTCTGGTGTCAAATGTTGTGAATGGTGCAGAACACGTTCATTTGCTCTCAGTGTTGTGTTCAGCATCCAATTATTACCCACACTTCACAGAGTTTTTTCAGCACTTTAAGTAGTGGAACTATTTTTTTTCCTAAACAGCCAAACCGTATGTGAACTGAGCTGAATGCTGGCAATAGCTCTTGGGGTTTGGTGCCTACCCCCGCTTGGCAGCTCAAATGTGGTCAGGGTGAAAAGCAATTTAGCAGTACCACCCGGCCGCAAAACATTTCCAGTTGAGCAAGTGTTTTCTGAAGCTTTTTTTTTTTTTTCATTTCTCTTTAAATAAAAAAAATAAAAAATCAGGCGCTTAATACCGAGAACACAAACTTAACTGTGAGCTCAAACCTCTGAACTACAAGCTTCTTTTTTTTTTCTTTTTTCCTGGATGTCATGTCGACTACACTTTACTGGATTCATTCACGACCAAACCGCAGACTGTGTGTGAGGTACATCTGACTTTTTAAAGTTCAGCCAGTGTCGAGGGTGAATAGCGGCGGCGGCGGCGCATGGAAGAAGAGATGCATTGGGGTCGTGTCCCTTTGGTGAGAGGACTGTAGGCGCGAAGGTGCGAGCGCTCCGCTTCCTTTCACTTTTATAAAAAAAAAAACAAGTCACACAGAAAAGAGCCTCCGCAGACACAGACAGCTATAAAACAGGGGTCAGCTGTAATCCGTCAGACCTTTTCGAATACCGAGTCAGTTAGTTTACACTGCGCGGAGACATACGACCACCGGTTCGCCTGGGATATACATATGCATACATATGGCATCGTGGGGGCATGCTTTGTGTCTGGGGAGTTTTCTCTGAGGCTTTAGTGGACAGTAAAAGCAGGGGGTCGCGTCCCGTTAGCAGACTGCTCTGTGTACGGGACACTTCTCAGATTGCCTGTAAAGGCTGTTAGGGAGGAATGGGTGTGGGGGAGCGAGGAAGAGGGAGGAAATTCAGGCTTTGGCTCCAAAAACCTGACGACTTCTGAAGTTTCAAAGCTCTCCCACACCACCGAGGGCTGCTGGCACGGCTGCCCACAAGGGAAAAGAGAGTGATGAAATGTGGGGGAAACCATGCGGCTTTGGCCAGCGAGAGCATGAGGCCTCCACATGGAATCACACACACACACACACACACACACACACACACACACACACACACACACACACACACACACACACACACAAAGAAGGGAGGGGACAAATAACTGGCTGCTGTGAAAACAAGTGCATGTTTCCACGGATAACGGTGCATTTAGAGCCGCAGGTGTGCGGCGTTGTCTGGTCAGCTGACCCGCCGCTTCCTGTCAAACAGGAAGACCCAAATGAGCGGAGATGAAAGTTCAAGGTAGCACACAGCTGGCAGTTGTTAAAGGTGGGCGAATGCAGGTGTGTCACAAGAGCGGCAGTGTGCGTGCCGTGTAAGGCGAGCCTAACCCAAACACATGACATACGAACACGCATGAATGTCGGCTCAGAGGCGCGCCGCAACACTTAATGTAGCGCACGCTAGCGGGGCCTACTTTCTAAAAATATCTGACTTTATTTCAATTTCATTCCAAGAGATAAACTACGAAAAAAACTCACTTATCTTATGAGCGACACATTCCCTCGATAAAGGATTTTTTCGGATTCTTATGCAAACTTTGCACAAATGATGCCCCCCCGCCTCCCAGGAGGACGAGTGTTAGCGCTGGAGATTAGTGCAGGACACTTTTCAGCCACATTCCTCTCTTGGCCCTAACAGACACATGCTTACAGGCCTTTGCATCCCTGAGGTGTCCGTCAACATAAGATGAAAATGAGATCATCAGCTTAATGGCTGCAGAGGGAGACGAAGGAAGGGAAGGGTGGGGATAGTTATAATCATGTTCTGGTATGACCGCACAAGCAGATAGTTAAAGACACGCATTGGGCTGAAAGTGTGCCGTGGATCTTAGTAGGTTTAAGGTGGAATCACGGAATCCTCCACTATTTTTCTAGATTAGCTGATCGTCTGGAGTAGAAACCACATTCAAGCTTCATGTGTGGTCTTTTTTTTTTTTTGTCTGGGAATGTTCGCAGATGCTTCGTCATAAGTCAAAGTATAGGACCGTAAAGCCACCAGCAATGCTCCGGGCCGTAGCTGAAACATACTTGTCAGCGGCGGCGAGGTGAACTGCTGTCAAACAACCTGACGAAACTCCATTCATATGCAAAAAAAGGAAAGAGCAAAGGTAACAAGCTGATCAACAGAGATAATCACCGCAGCAGCCTCAGTCACTCAGGGATCTGACAGCCTGTCGATACGGTACGTCCTGTGGCAGTGAGATCATACGTGCCCAGACACGTCTCCCGAAATGAGGTCATCTCTATTATCTGAAAGGTAATCTTGCTCTGCAGTCTGACGGCGAAAGAATCAATGTGCTGCACTCCTGGACCAGCGGGCCACTGTTTACCTGCCAGCGGAGGTAAACCGTCGCTAATTTGTAACTTGTGTGGAGAGGGTGGATGACCTCAGACTGGCCCGAGAGGTGCGGTTAACAAGCAGCCAGCTCCGGGTCATGTGTGTGTTTTAGTGACGACGAATCTGCCAAAATGGAAGGAAAAAAAAAAAACTGCCAGGCTTGATCCCTCAGATACTGCACTTCCATAAGCTGGGGGAAAAATAACCCAGTTAAAGCCAAGTGAATTCATTCGAGAGTAGTCAAATGCATGTTTAATAGCTTCATACGAGGCCAACAGGCAGCGAAATAATGGACAGAAAACACTGAGACGAACAATGTGTAAGCTGTTAGAAAACCCGGTACCAGCTGCTAGTACTTTGCTGTGTACATTAATATTTATTTCCGAGTGGTACACCCAGCTCAGACACAGTTTCATAATACTACGTAGAATTTCATTACCTCTAATTGCCCAATAACATTCAAGCTTGTGTCAGCTAATGGTGAAATGAACCAGAAAGACCTCAATGAATCACTTGGCAATAGGCTTTTGTTCTTGCTGAATCCATTCGGTACATTGAAACCTCGGGGGCAGCGATTGAGGATCGTTTGTTTTACGCCCCACTTCCAAAGGCCTCCGCCATTCCAGCTGGCCCACTGAAGCCATCATTTCATTATTTAGCCTCGCCGTAGATACGACGTCTGATGAGTGACTTTTGATAATATAACTATGACAGCACAATCCCCAGCAGAAGTGGCCTGAAGTCAAGTAAATAAAGATAAGCAGTTGTAGATCTGCGAGTCTTCGCTCTGATGATGGAGAGGCCGCCTCATTTTTGTTTACAAAGGGGGAAACATGAGCTCAGGCAGCGGCATAATTCATCACATTTCGACTGGGATCTGCATTTATCATCTCTCCGACCAGCTCACTTCCCATTTCCAGCCATTTGTTATTGTAAAACAAAAGATATGGATTCCAGTTTAAACCAGAGCCAAGGCTACATTTTTCCCCCCAGTGCTGTGAGACCTTGAGAACTTAAAAAAAAAATAACAGTGACAATGACTCAAGGAGAGTAAATTAGCTTTATTTATAACAGCGTTAAACATCTGTGTTACTGACTACTGCAGGACAAAGGTTGTGCATTTCTAGTTTTTTTTCCACATATTACACCTAATTACACGATGTTTGTTAAAACACTGCACAGCTACATGTGTACATCGCTGCGCATTTACTGTCTGCCAACAAACTGTCTTCAAGTACAGTAGCTCAACAAAGAATCTGACTGAGTAACACTAGCAGGCGACACGCAGCATTACTTTCCCCCTTCTAACCGTCAGTCAGCAGCTGGTTACAGGCACATTCATGTCAACTTGAGGTATCTTATCTATGCCAATCATGTACCGACAAATGCACAGTGCAGCTCCGAAGCATTCAAAGCTATCTCTTACAGACCCGTGTAATAGCTCGGCACATTTCAGTCTAGTTTGCTTTACACTGTGTAGCGCACCAGATGGCTTTCCTATGTTTGACAGTGCGCTGAGTTGTGACACAGGTTACACTGTGTTTGGAGGGTTTCATTCATTTTCTGCACTGTTTTGACATATTTGTTGAGTTACCTCAACGCAGCGCAGCCTTCCTATTGGAAAGAACTCTTTTATAGCCTGTATGTTAACACTGCTGGGCACGGTAGGTGGAGAGTTTCCCACGTCCGCTGCCTTGTACTCAGTTCCTCCTCTGGTTGAGGATCAGCTCCACGGCCTGGGCCAGGTCGTCCACGGTGCCGTCGGCCGTCACCGTCGGGTGCTTCTCGTCGCTGGGCCTGAGGGAGGAGACGCATGGGCAAAAGCTTCAGGACGAAACAGGAAGAAACAGCTGCCACACAACTAGAAGGCCCTGGCAGTCTGATGCTATCAGCGGCATCAACAATACTGAATGGACAAACAGCAGGACACGATGGGCGAAGAAAACTCAGGAAAGGCCGTCTTGTTAACTGTCTGAGCAAAGTCCTGGTAATAAATATGGCCTGTGTCCGTCTGGAGTGATCAGCAGGAAGGTTTTGTAGTTCTTTTTTTTTGCTGTGTTGCTATCTTCACACCTAAAGGTATCTGTGCTGCCGCTTGCCAAAAGCCCAGGCGGGGTAGTGCATGTTTTCTGTCTCTATCACCAGCTGTCACACAGTGTTCCAGACTTTTCTATTATATCTGCAGGCAGCTATAACAGACCCACTGGGGAGTTTAATGAGAGCTACTAATTCCAAAAATACCTGATTCTAAAAATAAAGGCAAGACAATAATTTGGTGGTGGTTTCTAACAAGGGGGCTGGGACCCAATTAAAAGATACTGTAAAGCTAAGCGGCTGTAAGAAGAATAAAACTGCAAGAGTGCGGAGGAGAAAAACACATTTCTGCCACATGCAATTATTTACTGATGTTTCACCGAACTAGCTTCTTATTTTTTGAGCCCTTAAGAGACATTCGAGGTCACCAGAGGATGAATCCTGCTGACTGGTGGCGTCCTGGCATTCCCATCTGCCTCAACTGTACAATACGTTTAGTGCAAAGTATGGAAAACATACCTGCTAAACATCAAAATGTAAGTACTGACGTTGTGCAAAGCAAGCAGTGTGACTTCCGCATTAAGCTCAGAGCTGTGTTTTGCAGTCCAGCCTCATACAGTCGCATTGCTTCTTATTAGATAACCGATCAATTAAACTTTAGTGCATTTCGTAGTGCTTTATCGGTGCCTGATCAGCCGATACCAAGGCAGTTATAAAAGCGTTGACTGCGATGAAGGGAAACAAAACCAGATTAAAAACCCAGATTAAAGACGCACATTGATCAGCCACAACATTAAAACCAGATAAACCTCGAGTCCCGTCATTTACGTAGATGTTACCTAATCATTGCTGCAGACTAACTGCACCGCCCATAGAAATGGCAGCAGCCTCCCCAAGCAGAATAATGTGCAGTGCTATTCCATAAAAACTGCTCAGGAATGGCTCGAGGAACACAACCAAAAGCTCAGAGCGCAAACAAAGCCTGCCAACCCACCAGATTCTAGTCAGGTTGAGCACCTACGAGTTATGGCGGCATGAAAATGCCAGATTCATGGAAGCTTCACCTCCCAGATCATATAACCCAACAGATCTGCTGCCAGCGGTCCAGTGCCAGACACCACAGGACAATCCAAGAGGTCCCATGTCCATGCTTCCATGGGTCAGAGCCATTCTGGCACACAAGGAGGACCTGACCACCATAGCAATAGCAGTCTTCAATGGCCTCCCCTCAGCACTACAATGCACCCCGCCACACCGCATAAACTGCTCAAGAACTGCTCGAGGAACACAACCAAGAGCTCAAAGTGGAAAAACAAAACCCTCCAGGTTTGAATGCACTGGAGCATCCATGGGTTACGGCGAAACAAGCCAAATTCATGAAGGCTCCACCTCTTAAATCACAGGACCCAACAGATCTGGTGCCA